CTGGAACAGGCTCCCCAGGGAAGTGGTCACTGCACCGAGCCTGACTGAATTTAAGAAGAGATTGGACTGTGCGCTTAGTCACATGGTCTGAACTTTTGGGTAGACCTGTGCGGTGTCAAGAGTTGGACTTGATGATCCTTAAGGGTCCCTTCCAACTCAGGATATTCTATTCTATGATTCTATGATTCTAAATAAATATAAAACATACAAAGTGGAATAAGAAGCTAAATATTTGATCAGAGCAGTGACTCTGGTGTGATAGGAATTGTGTCCTTCACTCTGCCACTGGAATGTATTACAAGATCCATGCTGAAAATTATGCAAAACAGTCAAGGCAAGCAAAACTGAAATAGCCCACTCATCAGAAATATTTATTAATTTTACAACAGAGTGCTTGAGTACCAGTTACAGAACAGGTTGTCTATTGCATGACGGGTTTTTACAAGCACAGCTCAAGGAAACAGGAGTGAGAGCAGCATCAGCCTTGCAGCCAGAGCAGAAAGGCAATCCCTGTGCCTGGGAAGCAGCACCACACACTTCCCATGAGAACCGATGGGAGCTCTGCATCTAATATGCCACATCATCACCAGGTACTCAAATGTAAATTACACCAGCGTTTATTGTCCTACAGAGAGGAAACATTTTAAGGCCATAGTTATACAGCAGGGGGCTGTACTGTCATTATTTCGCAGCAGCACGAGCCGTGCACTCTGCCTTCTTAACCTTTCCTTGCAAAATGCACAGCAGTTTTCATGACCAATTGCATTTCCACCACACTAGGAATAGAGTGATTTCTATAGGTATCAGGCTCTGAAAAAAAAAATGTAGGAAATTAAAAAATAATAATAATCATTAAAAAAGTGGGGGTGGAGGGGAACAACCTCATCTGGGACAAAAATGCTGATAAGGTTAAAGAATGTCATATTATAATAAGAGAATTATGGATTCACATGCATTCTGTATTCATAAAATACTATAAGGATTTACTAAACATTGTTAGGAATGTCCTTATCCCACCAGGCTATGAAAAGTCACTGCTAAATATAGATTTGCAAGAGTTTAGGGTGCTCAGCATCATGAAGAATGAGGCCCTCAGTCTGTTCCTGATGCCCCCAACACTGCAGTCAATAGTAGAATGCTATGTGTAGGAGAGGGAAAGCAGGGGAAGAGGAGACTTTTGGAGGACAGAGGTCTTTCTGGTACATTCCAACAGGACATGGGTGTCCTTGGACAAGTATGTCCTTGATGAGCTGTTTCGTTACTGAAAACTGCAGTTTTACTTCATCTGAAACTATTCCTAAATTTAAGCTGAGTTTGCCAAGCACTTCATACGTTAAGAAAATATTGACATTTTAATATTGAAAATGCAAGATGCTGAAATACACTGAGCTAGAGAAAGAAGACTTGTCAGTGAGAGACTGCAGTCCTAGGTCTTGTAAATCTCATCCTTCATTTTATTAAGAATGCTTTCCTTGTCCCATATCCCAGTTTCAGACTGAGCAGCTATTCAATTCCAAAACCAACTTACAGAGTAACTATTGCTTGTAATATCCCCGTTTGCTTATAATATCCCCATTTAAATTATATTAATTTGAGGGTAGACTGCAAAACCTCTCTTCTGCAAGCACACACAGATGTCTCATCCACAAAATCACCCACCAGTGACAGGGTTTTAGTGTCCCATTGTGACGGCAGTTTCCAAGAGAGCCACCAATTTCAGTTCTTTCCCTCGTGCACAGGTGATAACCCTTGCCCTCACACATGCAAAAGCAATCAGTGAGAACACCACACATCCACACGGTGCAAATCACGAGGCTACTTTTTACTGCTTTATTTAATGTAAATACAAGAACTTGGGGAGTCTTAGAGACTACAGCAATGGAACAGTTAAAACATCAGCAGACAGTGTATCACTTATTAAATTTTGCATTATAATAAGGGTATAAATTGTATATCAGATGGGAGATATTTAACAGTGTTCTCCCTTGTTGCTATTTCAGTAAGACTTTGGAAAGTCTGTTCACTTGGCATCGTGGCAGAACTCCTGTGTGCAGCACTACACTCATGCTGTGACTTCATCGCTATTGCCTTCTATTCAACATTTCTTTGCCACTTTTGAATAACAAAGTTGTTTACAGGATCTTTAGGAAAAGCAAACAAACTAATAAAACATGGAAAACCCCAAAACAAAACCCGAGAAAAGCAGCCTTAAGCCACAAGTACAAAGGCCAGGAAACCCTCTTGTCTTGAGCTGGCTTCTAGCAGCAGATTCCCTGAAAGCCGGATTTAAGGGAGACACAACAAAGAGATTGCTTATATTTTGATCCTTTCGTACATTGAACTGGGTCCATCGAACTGAATGTCATTAATTAGCCTTAGAAGTGGTTAAAACTCTGAGAGCCTAAAAGAGCAGGCAGGGACTCAAACTGAGACCAGAGCAGGAACCTAGGATAAGCTCTAGTGAGAGATGACCCTGCCCATGGCAGTGGGGTTGGAACTAGATGATCTTCAGAGGTCCCTTCCAGCCAAAGCCATTCTGTGATTCCAGGCATGAAAAAGCTTTTTTTATTTTGTTGTTGTTGTTTGTTTATTTGTTTGTTTATTTTTTTGGGGGGAGGAATATAAAAAATGGGATGATGTTTGAAGGAATCTAGTGAAGATTTTGAACTTTTGTTTGTTTGTTTGTTTATTTGTTTGTTTGTTTTGAAAATGTCTCTTGGCAGAGAGCCCTCCTTTGGGCTCATAAGGAGGTTGCGGTAGCTCACACCATACATGACGAGAACATGTCAGGTTGCAGGATGCCCCACGAGATGGTAGCTTGGAAACTTTGCTAAAGAAAAGCCCTGAGTAAGGAACCAGAGCAGGACCAGGGTCTTGTCATGGTGTTGTTCCCCAAGGCAGGTGTCGTGCTCCCCAGTGTGCCCAGCTGCTTGCAGCATCCCACCTGGCAGCTCCATGCTGAGGCCCATCCTGCACAAGGACCAGCACCAAAGTAGGGCTGTGGGTATCATCCCAGATGCCAGCTTCGAGTTACACTCCCCTGCCACCAGACTGGCACAAGCTGTGTACCTTACTACTGCCGAGTCACAGAGGTGAAGTCTGGTTTCACCAGCTGTCCCATGAGTGCTGTAAGCCAGGCATACCCTGATACAGCACAGAACCAGGCCAGTGCATGGAAAAGCCAGTAAGGCAAACATTGCCAGATAGGTGTCATTTTTCAGTCTTAAGCCATCTCTAAACAAACAGTGATAGCAGGAAGCCAGAGGGATTTACGTTTCCCTTGACAGGGCACCAGTTCCCTTGTTTCGTTCCAGGACCGTATTTTACAGGTGGGCTGGCAGACAAATCCTACCCCTCCACCACTGCCCCTGGTAGCACAGCAACAGCAACACGTGTTTCCCTAGCAGTCTCCTGAAACATCCATTTCAGCTGACATATTGTTGGCCACAGAGCTGGGAGCCCAGCGCATAAGAACAGAGAGTCACTAAGGGTCATGGTTTAGTGATGGGACTCAGTAGGTCAGATTGCACACAATGATCTTGAGGGTCTTTTCCAACCTAGATGATTCTATGATTTTCTTTCCCATCAATAGGAAAAGATTTAATCTCAAGACCGAAGCGTAACCTAGCTGGGCAATTTGTTAAAAATCAAACCAAGTGCACAATGTGGAGGAACTCATCAGCTGGGGACAGATCTGACAAAGATGCTCAAGACTGCATTTCCATTTGATGTGGACCATACAACCTTAAGCCATTTCCATCCACCATATATCAATGGTGAACTCACCCTGCCAACACAACCTGCTTCAAAGACCTCCACCAAGAGCCACATTAGCATTTGGGCTTAAACAAGACAAATGCAGAGAAGTAAGCTGTTTTCCCTTACCAGGCACTGCAGCAGACAGACATCACCTGTGCCAAACACCCTCCTCCACACTCCTGCATTCCAGGAACCATATATATCCAACAGCCCCAGGACTTTATTCGCATCTGCCAACCTCTCACACAAGATGCAGCCAGCTAGGTCATTGTCTGAGATGCTGTCAGTGACTGCAGGGCCAGAGGGAGGTCAGAGCACAGGCTGCACAATGTGTACTGTGCCCTGCCCAGCCACAGCCTCGTCCCACGGCTCCTCTCCAGCCATGCAACCACATCCAGCTCTTTGGGGGAAAAAGGCTGTGCTGAGACCTGTCGCAGAGTATTGTGCCATATAACATCTTGAAAGCATTGGGATTTTGGTACAGAGGTCAGGGAATGCTTGAATTTGGCATCCTCCCTCTTCCCCAGTCAACTACGGCCAAGAATGCTTCCGAGGACTTTCTGCTGGAAGTCAGAGCTGTTGATTCACACTCAAACTACCTGTGGAAATATGGCATATGGCTTGACTTCTTGCTGAAAGTAAATCCCTGTCTAGCTAGGGCCTCTTTGGCAAAAGCAGGCACTGCTATGTACTGGCCCAGACTGTAGCCTTACTTTAAAAGGAATGATATTAATTCAAATATATGCACTTAATCTCAGGTTTAACAGACACAGCTCAGGTTTCCGAGATACCTGCTTATGAACATCTAGGACAGAGCTGCGCCTTACAAAGAGAGTTGAAATGAATCCTTCCAATATAACTGAGCAGGTGACTGCTTACAGCACTGACCAGATAAAGAGAATGTGTTGTTTCAGTTACTAACAAGCTTACTTTTAGCTTGTCTGATGCTTTCAAAGTGAGATGAATCTCCCAGACCCCCTTCCATTGGAGGCAACAGTGATTATGTGTTCGTCTATTTATTGCCAGGAAGTAGCTAAGTAACAAACACACAGAAACTATGCATGAAAAAGCAAATACAGCATTAATAACTATCGAATTATTGCTTGAGAATGGACAATAGGATATCCAGTTGCAATCCTTTCCAATAATAACATAAAGCCAAGGTCAAACTTTTTGGATCTCGGCTATACTGGCATTTATTCCTACAAGGAAACGGGGGGGAAAAAAAAAAAAATGTTGACTGAGGTTCCCACAGACCTTAAAAAGCAGAAACATCTGTTACTGCTATGAACAGCTTGTATGCTGAGTTCAGCAGGAGAAAGTCCAGCAGCAAGGCCAGGTCTCTGCTTACCAGTACATGCCTCTGTGCTCAATGGGAAATGATCAGAGACAGTTTCAAGGGACATATCAATAATTCAAAACAGCCAGAGCAAGCATAAACAAATCAGAATTAGTGCTCTTTTCTTTCTCCTGCCAGCAAGACTGGAAGATGTTACAGATGCATAATGTGCAGTCTTGAGCATCTATGTCAGATCTGTCCCCAGCTGATGAGTTGCTCCACATTGTGCATTTGGTTTGCTTTTTAACAAACAGTTTTGAGCTGAAACACTGAGCAGAAATTCCAGAGAAGTGAGTCTTGTTCTCAGCAATACAACCTTCTATGTGGCTAGGGAAAACTACAAGTTCTCATGGACTCAATTTTTCTGTTTGAGAAATGAATCCCCACTTCAGTGATCCCCTACTCACTCATTTCCCAATGATGTTTTATGCTTTGTGTTTGTGATTTTAATTCATGTTTGTTGAAATACATATATATTTTAATATATGATGACATAAAAATGTTAGAGATGCTGCTTTGTTATTACACTGATGTAAAGCGTGACCAGTAAAACTATTGGAACTTCTTTTCTAAGCAAAACCTCTTGGCAAAGCAGAGATCATTGACAGGGACTGAACTGCATGACCATAAGCAATTGTGCTGCGAGTAGCATGGGTAAACATCCACAAAGAAACTCCTGCTTCTATTTGGAAAGCATCAAGCTGCATCAAGGCTGTAGCAACCACGAGTCCAGAAAGGAAATGATGATGACCTGGCATGTCAGACTGCTTAATCTTTCAAATATTGTATGTGGGAAGCCTCAGAGAAGTAGTCCTGTCAAAGGAAAGAACCTCTGTATGCCAGATTTCCCTGTAAAAACAGATTTCCAGATACCACACTTTATTTTGCTTAGCATTATTATATAAAACCCTTCCAATAGTGTGCAGAGATAAAAAGCAAAAGGAAATGAAGTCAAGACTTCTGGACCTGAAGGAGTGAATCTTGGCCCCGCTTTCTCCTTCCTTTTGTGCTGGCATCAGTGTGGAGCTGCTCTTTGCCTCCTCATATACAGCAGCACAAGGAGACCCCAGCCCAGTGTCCAGGGAGAACTGGCTGAGGAACCTGGAAGAAAAGAGCTTTAGAAGAACATGATTGTTGGAGCTTAGATTTATTCCTTCATTTAATTATTGCTGTTATGAAAATACACAGAATCATAAATGGACGTTTTTTAAAATTATTGTTAACATAGAAAAGGACTGGAATTAAAAATAAGAGTGCAATGATACAGGACTTACAGTTCAGAGCCATACCATAGTATTTATGAAGACACAGGGTTAAGCACAAACACACCAAGAAACAGTGCCACAAATACACACAGTCTGACAAGCATTTCTTTAAGCAGCAATCCCATTGTATGAAACTTCCTTCACCCCACTCCTTTTTTTTTTTTTTTTTTTTTTTTTTCTTCATTTGCTGGGTTAAGCGCTCCTTGGATCCTCCAACCTACCTGGTCCAAACCCATAGAATTGAAGGTAAGTTCAGTTCTGCAGGCCAACTGCAAGGGGCACTCCAAGAGAGCAATCTGCATACACCCCCATGCCCCCATGCCCAGCACTGCTTAACAACTCTTTCTAAAACTGTGCAAAGACAAAGACTTAAAACCACTGCCAAGTGGTCCAGAGCCACTTAAATTCACAAAGATTTGGATTAGTCCTCTCTAAAGTAAGTTAACCTGTTGACTTTCGAAACTGTTGCTCTCCTTCAGGCAACATACGGTTTTTCCATTGCCCTAAAACAACCAGTTGGCATAGTGTGGAGTTAGAAGGGAAAGAAGGGTGAAAAAGGAGAGTTGCTTAAGCATCCAGAATGCTGTAAAGGCTGTGTTGTAGCCCAGAGTGTTGCTCTTACCACATGAAGTTAGGATTATATGTTGCGTTCCTCCAGGTGTGGCATAAAGGTGTTTTTCAAGATGCTAGCTGAACACTGTAGAGCTGTACGTAGCTGAGGTTCTGGACTGTTGTGGAGCTAGCAGTTGGGTATGACACAGTTGAGAACCTCTGGGTAAGGATTAAGGACCAAGCAAATAAAGTGGATGTCATGGTGGTTGTCTACTACAGGACACTAAACCAAGATGATAACATTATTGAATTATTCTTAAAATAAGAGATACCTCTAAACCAGCTGCCTTGTCCTTATGGATGACTTCAACCTGCCAGATATGAACTGGGAGTACTACAATATGATACAAACAGGTCCATGAGATTACTAAAACACCTTGATGATAACTTCTTGGTACAGGTACTAAGGGAGATGACCAGGAAAGGTTCCCTCCTAGATTTGTTGCTTGTAAACAGAAAAGATCTCGCAGGTGAAGTGGCAAGTAGGGGCCACCTTGGGCATAGTGACTATGAAGCAATCAAGTTAGCAGAGTTTAACAGTCCATTATATTGTTCAATTTTCCCAGAGGCTGATGCATGATGAGTGAGTATATCACATCCCCTAATGCCACATTCTTTGGCCCATGTGCCTATGAGGTTGTTTTGGAAATCAGTCCCATTACCTGACTCCATTCTTTCCAGAGTACCATATCAACATAGCTCTTGTTTTCAAGGCCCAGGATAATGTTCCAGGCAATAGTATGGAGCACAGGATATATTTCCAGCTATCCAATGGTTGCTTCTGCCATTGTAAGCACACGGCACTTGCCCTGGCAGGTTTGTGTGAGCATGACATAATCAATCTGCCAGGCCTCCCTGTATTTAGATTTCAGCCACCATTCTCTGTACCAGAGAGGCTTTAACTGCTTGGCTTAATTGCAGCACATTTTTCACAATTATGGACAACCTGTGTGGTATTGTCCATGGTCAGGTCCATCCCTTGATCATGAGCCTACCTATACGTTGCATATCTTCCTTGGTGGTCTGAGGTTCATGGGCCCATCGAGCTATAGATGATTCACCCTTATGCTGCCAGTCTAGGTTCACCTGAGCCATTTCAATCAGAGCATCCTGATCCACTTGCTGGTTGTTTTGATGTTCTTCAGTGGTTTGACAGTTTGGTACATGATCATCTACATGGTGTACTTGTACAACCAGATTCTCTACCCAGGCAGCAATATATTTTCACCATGTGGCAGCCCAGACGGGTTTGCGTTTGGGCCATCAATTGCTCTGCTTCTGTTACTGTAACCACCGCCACAGGACATTTGCCACCATTCATGAGTCAGCACAGAGATAGAGCAGTGGCCACTTTTCCTGTTCAACAATATCTAAGTAGAGGTGGACAGCCTTCACTTTTGCAAGTTCTTCAGCAGTTTCTTCTCCTTCAGCAGTTTCTGCAGCTTGTGTAGGACTACACAGAGCAGCCTTCCAACTCTGATGCTTTCTCACAATATGACAGCACCAACCGTGAACAGGGCATATTGCTTCCCATTTCCTGGTAATTTATTATACAGAAGGCCTCTTCAGCATGCATCACATCCTCCTCTGGTGATATTATGAAGTCCTTGACCTCTGACCAGTCCTTAATGACTATGAAGACTCCTAGGCAACTGGGGTTTCCTATTTAAGCCCGTTGTGTGATCAGTGCAACTAGAAGGGACCCTTCCATTGAGTATCCAGTTTGACTTGTAGCAAAACCAGCTTTCAGAAGAATTTGGATTATTGTCTTCACTTTCTCAAAAAGTACTTCTTCTGTGTTGCCCCACAAAATGTCTATGTACTGCAGATCTTCATGAATTTCCCCGTTACAATACAGTCTGGATCCGTCTACGACAAATAGTACACTGTGTTTTCTCCCTTTAGGAAGTCTATTCCAAGTGTACTAGATATCCCTCCAAGGGAAAGGAAACTGTGTCCTGCAAACTGCTGCCAAAAGGATGGAGAAAAAAGTATTACTGATATCAGTTGTGGTGTATCTCTTGGCTGACTTTGATTCCAGGTCATACTGAAGTTCTAGCATGTCTGACATGGCAGTCATTGTTGGCATGAACTCATTCAGGCCACAATAGTCCACTGGTAGCCTTCATTCCCCATTAGACGTTTTTAATGGCCAAATAGGACTATTAAAGGGTGAGTACGTCTGGCTAATCACTCCCTGGTTCTCCAGTCAGCACAGTCAGCTCAAGGATAGTAATCAAGGAGTATCACTGCAATATAGGTGCCTGTGCACAGCTGTGCTAGCAATTGGCACCTGCTGCTCTTTGATCCTCAGAAACCCCATGACAGAAGGGTCCTCCGAGACACTGGACAAGGCAGAGAGCTCTTTAATGCCCCCCCATCTCCAAGGCAGCTATGCCAAAAGCCCACCAGTACCCCTTTGGATCTTTGAATTACCCTCTCCTAATGTAGTCTATGCCAAGGATGCTTGGAGCCTCTGGGCCTGGTGCAATGAGGCATTTTTGCCCCTTATTCCCTGTTAGGTTCACTTAATCCTCCAATACAGTAAACTGTAGGGATAACCCATCACACCAGCAATAGAATCGAAACTCTTTTTATAGCCTGATGACATTAGGATACTCTGTGCATTGGTGGGTCCAATGGGACAGGCCATCAAATCCGCACAGTCCAATAAGCCCAGTTGTCCCTTTCCTCCACTTGGCTGGAGGCAAGACCTCTTTAGTCCTGGTCATAGTATTCATTACTCACTTCTCAGAAATGTGAATCAGATGTCCCTTCATTAAGATCAGAAGCAAAATCAGCCCTTCTACTCTGTCTGGGTAACTACCCACTGGAAACTGGAGTGTTTTCCTGGCAGAATCCCTTTGCTATTGTTTTTCCTCTGGTACTCATGCTTGTAGGGTCAAGGTAATTTCCAAGTTCCTCACATCCTCCCTGTGGTCATGCAAGTAAAACCACAGGGTGGCACGTGGTGTGTACACACTTGAGCAGGAATGCTTACACTAATAACTGAGATACTGGTTTGTATAGGTAAGGGGGAAGATATTCTCCCTTCGAGCTGCTGAACCAGTTTCTCCACACCAAGACACAGGCCCATAGGGAAGAAGAGAGACTTTCTTTGTACTGACAAAGTTGACCAGACAATTCATCCACTGTATTTCCAGGTCATTACTGCCAATGTGTTGGCTTATAATGATGGTATGTGCTGTGCAAACTTCTGCCACATGAGTTATGTGCACTTGACTTCATCTGGATCTTTGGATAACTGGTCATAGTCCAGGTCATCACAAATCACCTCCAGCACAGCTAATTTCCTCAGGTACTGGATACCCTCCCCCCTCCATGGTGGTCCACTTGCCTGGGTGACATGCAGCATCTTCCTTGAAGGGATACATTTCCTCTACATCTCACAGAAGTCACCGCCAAAGGCTGAAGGCTTGCTCATTTTCCCATCGCTTTGTCAATACCCCCTTCCTAGAGAGAGATCCCAGCTACTTGCTTTCCCCCCCAGCTAATTCCAGGCTATTGGCCCCATTATCCCAGCATGGGAACAGCCAGGTGACAACATGCCTACCTGGATGATAACCGAAATATTTGTGTGTGCCTCACAGCTTTCTCAGTGGCAGGGATCAATGGGATACTGCCTTGTTCGTCACTTCTGCCTCTTTCTCACAGTTCTCGTGATGGCCCTACTTCAGAGTAGCCAATCTTACCCACTTATTCCTCTTTTCCCTTCTTCGTAGAAGTTTTTTCCCGTACTAGATGAGTTGATTTCTACATCCAGTGTTTCTTCTTGACTGTAGGATTGGCTGATACCAACATGAGCTGGTTCTCTGATTTAGCTGCAGCATCTGTTACAGGAGCTGGATCAGCTCCAGAGGCATTTTCTTCGTCTTGCAGGTGCTGAATAGAATTGAATAGTGCTCTTCGATAGGTGCAGGCCAGACCCCAACACAGTATAATGAGTGAGCTGTAAAACTCTGGCATTGCCAGAACAGGGGCATACATTTTAAAAGTTTTTAGGATCAAGTTCAGTGGTGAATTCCAAAACCATCAGAAGTGATAACCATGGTAGATACCTCCACACATCCTCCCACACACCTTGCCACCATAACCACCCTGCCTCAGGGCAGGTCTTTGGGTGGAATTCTTAAGCAGTAGTTTGACCTTAGACAAATATGGAGACACATACAGGAGACATAGCAGCAGGATCATGCTCATTTG